TAATAATAATAACTTTATTTGTAATATTTATGATGCATAAAGACATCTCTACATGCATATGCTATAAATACGCTTGCTATATCATACCAAGAAGATATTTATCAAATCATTTTTATTTATTGCCCCAAGTGGTCTGGCAGTGAACTGCAGTTTAACCCCTGATATTTACAGGTGCATATGGTGTAATTAATTTTTTTCCCATTAGAAATGGTTGTTTACATCTGCATTAACTGTTAGTTTCTTTTTTTCCAGCTTCATGCAAACTTCAGTGCACAAAATCCTAAATTCTTGAATATTTTGCATAATTTGAGGGAATTGCATATTCATATCTGAATGATTTTTAAGTTATGTTATTAGTTAGCTTAGCTTAAAGTCTGGAAGCGGTCTCTCTGTTCAAAGTTTTGTTTGGGCAGAAACTAAACTGATTGTAGGGGAAGGGGGAAATTCAGGGAAACTTCAGGAAGTCATTTCATCAGATCTTGGACATCTGATGAAGCAACTTCATTTAATTTTTTTAGTTCCTTCTGGCAAGACTCCATGGGTGGAGCAAATGACTAAATGCATAGTAGTCTAAAGTCACGTTAGGGTTTCACTTAGAAACCTCCGACGTGGAGTTGGCCTCATTTAGTAGGTTGAGGTCCAAAGTGTACTTTGGAGTCACATAGATAAACTTTGTCTTCAGCTGTGTGATAAGTACCACTGTGCAACAGATTCCCATCAGTAACTTTGACTTGACCTGCTCAGTCTGCCAAACCTTACGCCTTAGTCAATAAAGTAACAAATTAATGAATTATTCAGAAGGTAACCCCTCCCCAACCCAATTAAAGCCTTTAATACAGGCGTAGCTCACAAACCAAGCCTGCAGCAAAACAGCCCCTGTCTTGAGCGTCATCTGCAAGCAGCATGAGGACTCTCCAGGAAAAAATTATCATCCTTTCTGTTTTTCTGTCTTTGTTATGTGTCGTTCAGGTAAGTTATTTATTGTTTGTTGAACTTTCACGGAAATATTTTTTTTCTAATCAGTGTTTTATATGACAAAGCTAAAGGATCAAGTATTTGCCTTTACAGGTTCATTCAATGCCTGTACCTGACGAGTGGCATGGCTTAATTCAGCGGACCAAACGTTCACTGTTGTGGCGCTGGAACAGTCTGAAGCCTGTCGGTGCCAGCTGCAGGGATCACCTAGAGTGTGGCACAAAATACTGCAGGTACAGCTGAAGCTTAAATATTTCATGGCAGTCCATCGATTTACCTGTCTTCCTGATACTCCTGATCATTTTTGACTATTTTACATTAACTCTATGTAGCTCTTAAATGTCAAACTCAGCAACATATTCTTAAAAAAAAAAACAGTTTTCATAGTGTGTTCATTACTATGCTGTACATAGGCAGTGTGAAGGTGTGTACACGTGTATTTTGCATGCATGGTCTGGATAAAGTCAAAGGGTAATAATGGTGCAATCATTCTTATCTTTACAGGAAAAATATCTGTTCTTTCTGGATCACCACCTGAAAAAGAGACGCACAAACACCACCAGAATCTACAAAACAGACATCTGCTTTATGGACCACAACTGCCTGTTTTGTTTTGTTTTCTAAAACCTGCCCGCTCCTTTATTCTGGCTCCAACATTAATTCTGAGCAATCAGATCTTTTTCCACCGCGCTGCATCAAAAACAAAGCTGTAAAATCCAGGCATGCATAACCAATCAAATGGCGCCACCTTAAGTGATTTGTCTAAAACACTGCTGCAACATCACACAAGCTGTGTAATCTGAATGTGTTTTATAAGAAAATATAAATATCCATGCAAAGTTTGAGCCGCTCTGGGTTTATTGGTTCAAGGTTGTTGCTGTTGCTTTTTTTTTTTAAAGAGATTTTTTATGTATTTATTTGTAAATATTGTAAATAATGTAAAAATTCAAATATACTATACATTTTTTTCAAGAGGTTGTACTGCCCACATCTTCATTTTCTTTTTTAGTAGTAAAATAAATCCAAAACACATTTATATATTTCTCACACTTTCTGCTACTCTTTCAGTCGAGGTGCTTGAAAAACAGCTTTCCACCCAGCTAATGCGCAAGTTGCATTACTCATCCAAACCACGGTGCTGGGAATGTTGTTTTAACTTTTCCAGCATTCATAAAACTTATTTTAAGGAAGAATAAGAAAGATTGTAAATGCATATTCATAACCACTTCCTGTGTTAAAAGTGCCAGCAAAAAGCTTACAGTAACCCAGACAAAGGCCACTTTTATCCTAAAAGAAGTAGTAGTACTGAATTACAAACCCTGAATGTACTCGATAACAACAGCAGGGGTGAAAATGGCTGATCTTAGGGCTCAGTAGATGAGAGAAACTCATTTTGCATCTACCTAATCTAAGCTTTGCAGGAAGGATAAACAGTCATAAAACAAGGAGTTGCTGACACTGAGGTCGTGGAACCTTTTCTAAAAAAGAATTTGGGCTGGAACTTTGTGCCAAAATCTACTGTCATTACTCATACCTGCAGTAGTACTTAGTACTTATGCCTCTGTAGTTATTCTGACATGTTTGGCAGCTTTTTAAAAATGCCACAAATACTGCCTGAGCCCATGACCTCACACCAATGAGATTTGAAGATACCTGCCCTAAATGGTTTATATCTCGCGTTAATGAGGAGAACTGATTTGGCCTCTGAGGTGGCCTTAAAACTGTAGATTCAGAGCTGTGTCCTCACTCTTATTATGCTTTGATAGATGCCCAATTCTCTCCTTCAAAATCTGGCTTACATATGAAAGCAGAGGTGGCCATATTTCCCACCAGTCGGGTTTACATGGGGTTAGCCAGCAGAGCGACAGCCAGTATTACAGAAGGTCTTGAACATATCACGCCTCTTACTTGGACTGAAGCTGTTATTGATACCCTCACCTAATAGGGGTTTTAGAGCTGTCAACCACGTGAGAATGGGAAGTGAAACACATCAACAACTGAACCCTAAATCCTCAGTTTCACCGCTAGAGGGCGAGCTGGGGCTGTTTAAGAAGTGAATATGCTATGGCAAAAGCACGTTTGAGACGTACAGGCCTGCTGTCCGCCAAATAATACTCTATTATTAGAGCAGCAAGGGCGTATAGTTTTGAGACCTAATGGATCATGCCTTCACTGTTTACTACACCCACCACTTATATTGTTTATTATGAGTGTGGATTGCCCCCCCCCCTTTTTTTTAAATAGCCTAGATAAAATAATAATTATAATTATAATAATATTTATTCTTGAGTAAGAAAAATAGATGTCAGCAATCAGACGAGGCACTGAACAGCATGTTTACTTTTATCGTTTCCACCCCCGCCAAAAACAAAACAAAACAAAACAAAAAACAACAATAACAAAAAAAGAAAAATCGAAGTATTTTAGGTTTTACTTGCTTCCTACCGGGTGTCTTGGATACTTGAGTAACAGGAACTTCTCCCTCCTCATTGGCTAACCTGGTCGTGACGCAACAGCCCATCCATCCTGAGCGGTGGAGAAGCGGCGGCGTGGGGACCGCTGTGTCTGTGGGGGACTTCAATGCCGGAGCGGTTTCATATTACCCTAGTGTTTATTAATAGTTATAAATAAGAGGTTTTAACCGGAGATATCTGACAACATAGATGAAAACATTAGCTTTCATAATACGCCTTCGACGGCTGTAGTGCGTCGAATAGTCTCGTCCGTAATAATAAAAAAAAGTGCATGTTTTTGGACCAAACCGCATCCACATGAAGCACCTGCACGGATGGAGATCACCTTTAACTGACGGCTGTTTTCAAGTAGGTGCTGCTTTCAATGCGTTTTGCGCTCCTGCAATGTTGCCTTTCATTAAGTGCTTCAGCTCATATCTTGTTCTCGTATTTGGTCACTTCACATTTTCTTGTGTGTGGGTTTGCTATTTCTAGAAGCTGGCTACCTGTGTGCCCTGCCTCTTGTTGTCTAACGTGTCCCACTTAAGCCACTTTGAATATTTCTTTGCCATTGTGTAGATGCACACAAACACCTGGCCCCAAGGTAAGATGCAGGTCAGACATCATCTCTGATTCTCGAGATCCTCGTGAAACTTTCCCTTCACATTAACTGGAGACCACTATGAGCAGTCACTGATGTTGTCTAGTTACAGGGCATCATCGCTCTTAACAAGCACAAGCACTGTCTGGGCCTCTTTGCTTTCATGTAACCACAACATCCATCCTTCAGGTTGATGGCTAACTTGACCTGACAGATATTTCCAGAGAAGCAGCTCAGTTAATCAGAACCATGTCCATGCGCTCCAGTACGCAGAGGGCCGGTTTGATTGGCTTAGATATTTGAGATGCAAGGTAGGAGGACTACCGGCAAAGATGAGGAGTTGTATCCACTTTGCAGTGATGTTGTTGCAGACAAGTAGTCTGAGGTTCTGGCCTACATTCCTGTTATATCATAATACTGAAAATAAGGTGACTCAAGGGAAACTAAACTAAAGGACTGATATTCGTGTAAGGTTCCAAAATGTTGGCCAAATAACTTAAACTGATTTGTTTATTATGAGTATGGATAATACTTTAAATAATAAATATAACTATAGTTACATTTTATGAGCAAATCCCTTCATAATATAAGGTAGACAAGGGTTAGAAGTCAGAAGCAGCATGTGCTGAGGTTTGGGATACTGACACTTGATGTATAGATGTGACTCGTGATAATTCAGGGGTTCAGTGGGATTCTGAGACCTTCCACCATACATACCTGGACTGAAATTCATAAATGCCTTTGTTTTCAGTATAGCTGTTGATACTAATGTCAAATTTAGCTATAATATCTTACATGTTCCAAGACCATCAGGGAATGATGGCCCATGAACAAGGCTGTTATGCAGTTGGGAAGTGGAAAAGCTTTCATTTCTAAATTGATCGTGTCCTCGTATCTAAGGAGCCAAAAATGATCTGCAACAAATGAAATGAAGAAATAAAGACAAACACAGAAAAACATATTCAGGTTCATAACTTGTTGGACAAACATTGTTGAAATTTGCCTCTGTACACCACCACAGTTGGTTTCAAATCAGACAGTCAATATGTGACTGAAGCGCAGACTTTAAGCTTTAATTCAAGGGGTTTACTTTTTTAATACACAGTCCTCGTCTCCAGAGGCTCAAAATTAATTGGACAAACTAACATCATTTTTTTAAAAAAAATAAGCAATATTTTTAAAAGTTTGAAAGTCCTCTGCAGTCAGCGAGTGCCTGAAGTCCCCACAGAAACACTGTTTCCTCCCATGAGATGCTCTGCCAGGCTTTTACAGCAGCCACCTTCAGCTGCTGCTTGTCTGTGGATCTCTCTGCCCTCTCCTTTGTATTTAATAACTGAAAAGCTGAGATCAGGTTACAGACTTGGCCATTGAAGAATATCTCGTTTCTTTGCCTTGACAAATTCTTGGGTTGCTTTTGGAGCATGTTTTGGGTTTTTATCCATGTGCACAATCAAGCTCTGTCTTATCAGTTTTGCAGCATTTAGTTGAATCTGAGCAGAGAGTGTAGCCCTACGCACGTCACAATTCATGCTCCTGCTTCTATCAGCAGTCACATCATCAATAAACACCAGTGACCCAGTTCCCCTGGGAGCCATATATGTTCATGCAATAACATTGACTCCACAAAAATTAGACAGGTGATGTGGTACGTTTCAGATAATGATAATGTTTCTCTTCTTCTTTAGACTTTTCTCTTACTATTATCATTGTGCTGAAAAATTCATCTTGGTCTGTCCAAAATGTTTTTTCCAAACCTGGCACTTTCAGATGTTTTCTGGCCGTCTAATCTGGCCTGCTAGTTCTTGAGTGTAGCCAGTGGTTTGTGCCTTGTTGTGAACTCTGTATTTACATTCATGCAGGCAT